TCCAGAAGTGCATTTGCTGGCGCTTGCCGTGCTATGTTGTCGTTGTCGCCGGCAGATGTTAAGACCCGAAGCCACGAAGACACCTCAACACCAGAGTCCCGAAAAGGAAGGGGAATTTCCATCTCAGCGGATGACGCCGGCAACTCGTGCCCAGCAGCTTTGCACCCACGGCAGCGGCTTAGCGGCAGAGGAAATGGTTTGAAGGACTTCCGAGGGCAGCTGTGGCAGCTACAATGCCCGTGCCTTGGGAGCTCCCACTGCCGTTTTGATGGCACGAATTGCCATGAGTTGCCCGCGCGGAAAGACGCGGAAGCCTTCGACCCAGCCTCTGGCATGTGAGCCACAATCGTTGCATCACAGGTTTCACCGAGTTTCACCTTCGTACTCTGCGTTTCTGCCGCGGTTCCTGTGGGAGAGCATGGTGACATCGTGGCAGAACATCCGCACAAGCACATTCAAAAGGCAAGCGCAAGACGATGTGTAGATGCGAGGAACCCCTTGTGGCATGCGCGTGAGGCGTTTGGAGGGTGGAAGCACTCGCAGCACCTGGGGCACCCTTCCAGGAGAAGACCTTCTTCAAATCGCCAGTCGCCCAAAGGACAGCACTCTTCTTATTTAGGAGCTGCCTCTTGTCCAGTTTTTGTTGTTTGTTTGCTTCTTGGCGTCTTGGGCTCCTTGCTCGGATTCCAAGACCCGTTGATGTTTTTGGCTTCTTGGCTTCTTGGCTTTTCGGCTTCTGGGCTTCGTTGCATTCCGGGCAGAAGGGCGCCAAGTATTGCAGCACTTCTTTCATGGAAAGCCATTAAAGGAATTTGGCCGGCCGCGTCCCTTTGGCATTCCAGTCTCAGGGTGATTTTAGTGCGATGCCAGAGGCCGCATGTTTGAGCTTGTGCCCGGGGGTTCGCATGCTGCAAAAGGCTTTCTTCCTCCACTATGGCCATGTGGCTCTACCGGGTTCATCCGAATCCGCCACATTGGCTTCGACACCAAATCCGAATGCTCTTACGAGCTCCTTCAATCTGACAACTTATACTGAGTACCTACTGGCTATACTCTTCGCCATCCCTTCCGAGAAAGACTCAGAGGGAGGAGCCGAGCCAGAACTCCGCGCCTGATGTCCTGCGTTCCCTCTTGCTGTGGAGATGCTGGGCGGGATAGCCGCGACGGCAGGCACCTACACTCGCGGCGTAGCGGCGGAGGAGTTAGTTTTAAGAAGTTCAGTGGGATTTGGGATGCATGGCGCTGCACTTATATAGCCGCATGGCTTAAGCCGCCTCTGCCGTTTCGCCTTTGAATTCAAAAGCGAGGCATCCCTTTGAACCGATGCCGTCGGAAGCCCCCAACGGGTTGAAGGTTAGAAGTAGAAAACTTATGAACGAAGAAGGCATGCGAGGGACCGGGTCAACGAAATCGAGTAGAAACTCAAGTGCAGGTACATTGTTCTTGGCTACTTTGATGCCTCGTCTTTACCGCCAATGGCCAATGGTGAAGAAAATAAGATCTTGCGGGCTTTCGGTCCCGATAGGTCCACAGGCGTTCCGCATGCCTTCTTGCCGGAGCCAATCACCTCCTCCAGAAGTGCATTTGCTGGCGCTTGCCGTGCTATGTTGTCGTTGTCGCCGGCAGATGTTAAGACCCGAAGCCACGAAGACACCTCAACACCAGAGTCCCGAAAAGGAAGGGGAATTTCCATCTCAGCGGATGACGCTGGCAACTCGTGCCCAGCAGCTTTGCACCCACGGCAGCGGCTTAGCGGCAGAGGAAATGGTTTGAAGGACTTCCGAGGGCAGCTGTGGCAGCTACAATGCCCGTGCCTTGGGAGCTCCCACTGCCGTTTTGATGGCACGAATTGCCATGAGTTGCCCGCGCGGAAAGACGCGGAAGCCTTCGACCCAGCCTCTGGCATGTGAGCCACAATCGTTGCATCACAGGTTTCACCTTCGTACTCTGCGTTTCTTCTGCCAGCTGCTCGTTTACTGTGGGTGTTGCTTATTGTGCCACTCTTCTGCTTTGGGAGAGCATAGGGACATCGCGGCAGAACATTCGTAATCAGGACATGGGCGCACGTAAACAAACATGTCCAACGAAACAAGGTTTTAAATTGCAAAACTATTCCTGTTTAGGCCATAGTATGCAACACAGCCGTCGTGACCACCGTGCGTGAACCTCGTGAGAACCGCACGCATGAAGCAGAAAAAACTCGAAACGATACCTGACGTCTCTTGTGGCCGTAACATGTTGTAGTTGTGTACCTGGCAAGAACATGATAGCAGGGCAGCATCTTTGGAGCGCAGATGGCATCACCCTCAGCATTGTGCAGGGCCTCCGAGAATCTAGGAGACGCATCGATTGAAGACCTGGACGCTCTCGACCAGGCTTCACTGCGACTGGCCTTGATGGGAGTTTTGCAGTCCTTGAGAGCCTGGCAGCGCCCCACCCGTACGAGGCTGTTGGACAGCGGTTGTATTGTGAGTCGAGCCATTGGCAGTGGGCACAAACTAGTGTATGATTGTGACACGGCCTTTGGCAGACCTTCTGCCTTTAAGGGTTGTGTGACAGAGCCTCTCGGAGCGGCCTGCACGGCCTTTCAGGCAATTCGGCAGACAATACCCGTGCTCGCCCAGCCCAGCAGAAGCAGAGTGAAAAAACAGCAATCCGCGTGTCTCACCGCTTTCTTTGTCGGGGATTCCAACCTTCAGCATCGCATCATCGCTCGGAGCATGCTGCTGATGGACGTTTGAGTGATCATGATGTTCTGATTTTCGACAATGGGAATTGATTTGCTACAATAAATAGTGGGCACTCTTCAAGTTTCAAATTCCTTAGCATGGTCTTGCGAACAAAAATAGCGGGAATGACGAGGCGCAGCCTTGTCATTCTGGCGTTACAGCCGTGCAGCAGGCACCCTCAAAACAGGGCGGCAAAGGGTGCAATCAGGACATGACATGGATGCGCGACGATGAAGGGGCGTGCAGTACTCGAATATGGTACGCTCGGAGCTTAAGAGGTTTGAAAATCTGTGTTTGTGAGCATGTCGACGTGTTGACAGCCGCTAAGCTAACTTGTCACATCATGAAAGCGCCAGGACCAGAAGGCCTGACATACCGCAACAGGTCTTGCCTGAACCTCAGCCCTGGGATTGAATTAAGCTTAATGCCTGCGCCTGTATAAGCTCATCTGAGCAGTGATCCGACTACATAACAGCTTCAGTCTCAGTTCCATGCGCCACTTCTACGAGTATTATGACGAATACTATTACGATTCAACTCCTAACGACGTCTACTGCTACTACTACTACTACAAGTATTATGTAAAAGGGTTACTACTACTACTACTACTACTACTACTACTACTACTACTACTACTACTACTACTACTACTACTACTACTACTATACTACTACTACTACTACTACTACTACTACTACTACTACTACTACTACTACTACTACTACTACTACTACTACTACTACTACTACTACTACTACTACTACTACTACTACTACTACTACTACTACTACTACTACTACTACCGCTGCTGCTTTTAATGCTACTACTACAGCGACTTGCGTGCGCTTTGTCCCCCTGGTAGGGCCAGCAAGAGCATTAGCACTGCCCAACAGCATGACAGTTTGGATCGGAGTGACAGTTATGAGCGTAACAGCACGAACATAGCAACCATACGCATACAGTCAAAAAAGGCGTATTGTTGTTGGTATGATTTGGAAGGTTATTGGCATCATCTGCGCTCTTTCTTTTATGCTGACCGCTGCAAATATCATGAACATACTGTGCACAAAAAGGAGGCAAAACATCATTGGGATTATTGTTGTTATCGTTGCTATTGCTGTTGCTGTGATTGCTGTTGTTGTTCATAATGAATTTAGTTGCAAGCGTGTTTGGTAAGCTAGCAACCGGCACGGGGATGAGGAGTTTTAGATTGTACAACAACGTTATACTCTGGGTCGGGTCTATGTAGGCAGCTGCAGGCTCTGAACCCAGTCGCTACATTTCCAAGCGATAGCGATGAAACAGCAACAACAGGACTACTGGCTGTAAAAGACACCGGCCGATCCTGCTGTAAAATACAAGCGTAAGAGCGCTAGTTCAAGGAGAAGAACATAGTAACAGCATGTAATAACACTTGTTATTATTTAATGGCTACCGCCAGTGCCGCCGACCCCTTGGAGGCAAACGCCCAAGCTGCCCAAACCCTATCCCTTCGTTTCCCCCCCCCCCTTCTTCTCCTGCTCAACTCTGGGAGATAATGCCTCTGCTCTAAGCACCGAAACCGTAAACCTTGGTTCTAAGTTCTGAAACGGTATATGTAAGGCCGGTGGGAATAAGCTGTTTTTTTTCAACAAAACAAAGCTCTAAATTTAAAGAAGCACGCCATGCAACCTCACCGCTGGCCTGCTGATCCGCATCGTGCCGGGAGTCCCAGATTGCTAATTGGCCGGGGTGGGGGTGGGGTGGGGTGGGAGGGGGGGT